AAAAAAATGTTTTCACATGCAACTGGGAAATAAGAAATACAGGAGATGGGGTACATAAATCCATCCTGCGCTACAGGAAAATTGAAGGGGAAGGGAATAAGAGAAGGGGGGGAGAGACAGAAGGGAAGACAGACTAGGGGAAGGGGTATTTAGAATGCATGCCATCTTGGGGTGGGGGGAGGGGCGAGATGGGGTGAAAATTTGGAACTCAAAATCTTGTGGAAGTAAATGTTGAAAACAAAAAAAAATAAATAAAAATTACCATAATAAAAAAAGGAGTAGGGAGAGATAAATTGAGAATTGTAAATAATATAAAAAGAAAACTTATCAACAAATATTTATTTTAAAATGTGACAGTCTTGTGGGGGAAAAAGGAAAGGAAGGCATATATGGTATTTTAAAGGAAAAAAATGAAAGGAACTTGAAAATTGATTGGATATGGAAGGTGAGGAATAGAAGTTTAAAACATGTATGGTTGGTTGATCTTTGGTGTCATTGTATATCTGGTGTCAGATATAAGGAAGTCAGAAGGAAAAGCAGGTTTTAAGAGAAAGTTCAGTTTTACGTATGTTGTGTTTGAGGAACCAATGGAATATCTATATGGAGATGTCCAGTAGAAATGTAGGCCAGGGGCTAATGAGAAAGGTCAGGTTAGAAGACATAAATTTTTTGGAGTTATCAGTAAAGGGGGATGACAATGTTAGCTGTAAGAAAGAATACTGAAAATGGAAAGAGGGGAGAGAGAGAAAAGAGCTAAGAACAGAGCCTGGGAAACATCCAAATTGATTTTAGGAAAAGGAAAAGGAGATATACAGGGAAGCAACAGCCTGAGAATATGCTGTCAACAAAGCCTGGGAAGAAAGGAATAGCAAGGGTGTGTATGTAGTGAAATGAAGATTGGCATCAGTAGTATGAAATGCAAGAAGATGAGGACTAAGAAAAGTTCACTGTATTTGTTAATGTCACTGGTGATTTTTGAAAGAGCATTTTTAGTAGAGTGGTAGAGATGAAACCCAGATTTCAAGGCACTGATGACTAAGTAAGTAGTGAGGAAACAGAAGCACAGGTTATAAAGATGGAGGCAATAGCTCAAGAATGTAAAAAAGGTGAAGGGAAGATGGTTTAATAAGTGAGGGAACATGAGCAGGTTTGCTCATCAAAAGGAAGGAGTCAGGAGAGAGGGAGCAATAGCAGATTCTTGAGAGAGTAGGAGAGTTCAATGGAGTGGGGTCTTAGAGTGGGAAGGGATGGGTTTTTTTGTTTGTTTTTTGCTTTCTGGTGAGGCAGTCAGGGAAGTGATGGTTTAAAAAGCACATCAAGAAGAAGTGAGCCTTGGCGAGGATTGCGGACCCCTCTAAAGCCTCTTCAGCTAAAGTAGGAGGGATAGAACTGGTACAAAGAACAAAGCAAAAGCAAAAAATAACAAAAACCTAAAAACAAAGGTTTCAATAGGCAGTGGGACTGGGGTGTCATGAAAAGAAGGGGATTCAGGAATTCTTAGCGCCCATTCTGGCACAGCTCTGTTGTCGTGTGACCTCGGGCAAATCTCTTCTTTTGAGTCTCAGTTTACTTGTTTATAAAATAAAGGGGTTAGACTAGGTGGTCTCTAAGGCCCCTTCCAGATCTGCCATCTCAGATAATGTCCAAAAATGCTCCTGAAATCAAATATAATCAGATTTTTTTTTTGCTTCTTACTGAATCACATTAAATCACAGAAACTCTTTAGGCAGGTTCTCAGAGGTCATCTAGTTGAGACTTTACCTGTTCTATCCTTTCTATGATATCCCTGACAAGTCATCTAGTTCCATTCAAAAAACTCTGGTGATTCCTATCACTCACTACCTCCTGAGTTACCCCATTCTTCTACCGGACAGCTTTACTAGGATTTGAACTCGGGTCTTTCTGACTCTAAATCCGATGCATAATAGGATCATGGATTTAAAGCTAGAATGGACCCTAGATGCTATTGAGTCCAACCCCTCACTTTACAAATGAGGAAACTGAGGCACAGAAAGGTTAGGAGACTTATCTGGGGTCCCACAGTGTCTGAGATAGGATTTGGACTCAGATCTTCCTGACTCCAGGTCCAGGGCTCTGTCTAGTAACTACTGCTGCCTTTCCAATGCCATTCAGTGCCTACTACACATGACACTGTGCTATTTGTTCTAAGAGATATAAAGAAGTATAATAGAGGGTGTCCCAAAAGTCGTGGTGAAGCTGAAAAATTTTTTTTAAGTTTTAATAGCATAAAACTGCACTAGGACTTTTGGAACAACCTGTATACGACACCTGTCCTCAAAGTGACCTCATATACAGGATATCCCCAAAGTCTTGATAAAAGTTAAAGATTAAAACAGCTTGCATGTTTGCCGACTTGAAAGAACCATGGTTTCTCTTCTCTTTTTTCAAACCTTATAACACATATAATGAGAATACAATATCTAATTTGATCCTCATAACACCTTGTGAGGAAAGCACTTATTACCAATTTGCTTATGAAGAAATGGAGACAAAGAAATCAAGCCACTTGCTCATCATCACACAGCTAGTCATTTTCAAAGGCAGGATTTGAGCCTAGGGTCTTGCACCATGCACCATGCACCAGCACCATGATGACTATGAAAAGTAAGGAGCTTACTACCCAGCCCGAAAAATACACATACAAACTCAAGTGGTTAAATAATAATAAGTCAAATGCAACAGAAGACAATAATACAAGAGACTTGCTAGGCAGTAAGCAGGACCATAGCACTTAGATCCGGAGAGACCTTAGTGATCACCCAGTCCAACCCCTTTACTCGATGGTTGAACAAAACAAGGCACAGAGCCGCTAAGGAACTTGTCCTCCTCACACCTAAAAAGCAGCAGCAGCAGAGTCAGGAATTCTAAACCGAGGTCCTCTGAGCCCAAACTCGGTGCTCTCTGCACCCTACCTCCTTATCTCCACAGTTAAGTGTCAGATGAGTGATACTGGTGATAAATGCTAGCAGAATTCAGATCAGGGAGAGTGGTCGAGGGAAGCTATGTGGAAAA